ACGGGAGGGTGAGAGAATTCACCAGAGCCAGAGCGGGGAGCAGAGCAGGCAGATGGACCGAAATACACTGCTGAGGGGAGCAGCGGGCGGCAGGAGAGGTCTGCGCGCCATGTGGAACCCTCCTCCAGTGGCCGGGGAGCAGCCAGGGATCGAACCGGTGCCGCAGAGGCTGCAGGCAACTTCACAACCCAGCGCTCAACCGCTGCGCCACCGGGGAGGCCCCCCCACTGACTCTTAAATGACTCAGAATCAGGTACTTACAGAAATAAAGAGTTCACTAAAATAAAGACTGCTTGAAGGAATTTATTATTATTTTGAAAGATTTATTTATTTATGCATACAAAAACTGGGGTATAAGCCAGAGGTGTGTGTATGTGGAGGGATGGGGGGTGAGAGGATTCACCAGAGAGTGGGGAGTAGAACAGGCAGACTGACTGAAATACACTGCTGAGGGGAGCAGCAGTGAGACAGGAGAGGTCTACTGTGCCATGTAGGTTGCTCCCTGGCCAGGGATCAAACTCATGCTGCAGTGGCTACTGATAGCTTGATAGTGCTGTCTTTAACCCCTGCGCCACCAGGGAGGCCCTGCTTGAAGGAATTTAATAAACAAATCGATTTTTAGGTCCTATTCCTACTCTAACTACCCTTCCTTCCTTGTAGCAGAAGGAATAAAATCTGAACATTAAAAAAGCAAAGTCCATTACTTGGAATGCCCAGCACTGTTTTTGGGAAATAAGTACTGCTTACAAAATAGGAATTATAGGGTCCTCCCTGGTGGCACAAGGGGTTAAGACGCAGCATTGTGAAGCTATCCTCAGCCACTACAGCACAAGTTAGATTGAGTTTGATCCCCAGCCAGGGAGCTACCCGCATGGTGCAGTAGACATCTCCTGACTCACCTGCTGCCCCCCTCAGCAGTGTATTTCATTCAGTCTGCCTGTTCTATTCTCCACTCTGTCTCTGGTGAATCCTCTCCTCCACCCCCAAACCTCTGCCCTGTACCCCAGTTCTTGCATGCATAAATAAATAAATCTTTAAAAAAAAGAAAATAGGAATTATAGTGACCATATGCATATTGAGCTATGAATGATAATTCCCTTAGAGTTTTTCACCTTTTAATTCATAGATGCTAGCATGTAGAATTCTATCATTCAGGCAAAGATTCAAAAATATTCTTGGGAGGAATGTGCAATTAATTGGTAGGAAAGACCTTATAGTCCCAATATGGGGAAGTCAAATCATCTTATAGTGAAACAGAAAGTTGATGAGCTCCTCTACAATAATTAACACATCAATGATATTCCACTATACCAGTGAATTACAACTGAGAGAATTGCAACACACAAATCTACTTGAAAGTATAAAAGCAAAAGGGGAAAGGAAAAAAGCAATCTAAAGGAAACTGAAGCACTGGCATAGATGGTTTCAGCAAACATTAAACACAACACAAATCTATTCAGATCAAAATAACATTTCACAATAAAAATCCAGATTTCCTTAGTTCCTATTATCTGCTACATCATACTTACCGTTTTTGTTGTGTGCTCCTGGGCCCAATGCAATAGGGTATATGGATGGTTCCCTACATCAACCAGCAATTCTTGGATACCAGCAAGGTGCCTGGAGAATTCAACTCAGTTCTGACGCTATCTCCCTGGAATTAGTGTCAGATTACACAGGTTAAGGGCTTAGTGTTCCAAGACTGCTCTCCACTGCCTGAAAACCATAGGCACACCCAGGCAATTACTGTGCTTCTGACCAACCGGCTATTAGAGATTCCCATGACGCCTTCCTCAGGTTTCAGGTGCCTGTTGTAAGCCCAAATTATTATTTATGCTTCTGACTGATTGGCTATCTATCAGAGATTCTCGTGACCTCCTCCTCAGGCTTTATTAATTTGCTGGAATGGCACAGAGAACTCAGGAAGACTGTTACTCACCAGATTACCTATTTATTACAAATCACATTATTTGGGAACCGCCAGATGGAAGAGATGATCGATCATGGGCTGGGGAGAAGGCACAGAGCTTCAGGCTCTCTCTAGGAGCACTGTTCTCCCCAGCTCTTCACACACCCACTAACCCAGAAGCTCTGCAATGTCCTTCCTTTTGGGCTTTTGTAGAGGCTTCATTACATAGCACAATTAACACATTGGCCATTGATGACTGAACTCAGCCACCAGTCCTGCTTACCTCCCTGGAGGTAGTGAACTAGAACTACAATACATTCCAACCCTATAATCATGTGGTTGGTTCCCTTGGCAACGAATTCCCATCCTTAGGTGCTTCCACAAAAGTCACCTTGTTGATATAAGAAAAGACAACCTTAATACTCTCAATACTTAGGAAATGCCAAGGCTGTCAGGGGAATTGTGAGACGGGAATTGTGGATGAAGACCAAACACGTATGAAAAATGTATTTTGGTCAGGGCCTGCCTGGTGGTGCAGTGGGTTGAATGCTGCACTGTGAAGCTGTCTGCAGCCTCTGCAGCATGGGTTAGGTTCACGGCCGGCTAGGGATAACCCCACATGGCATGGCAGACCTCTCCTGCCTCATCTCCTGCTGCCCTCAGCAGTGTCTTTGCCTGTCTGCCTGTTCTGCTCCCCGCTCTGTCTCTGGTGAATTCTCTCACCCTCCGGTGCCTCTGACCTGTACCTCAGCTATTGTATAAATAAGAAAATAAATAAAAAAAATAAAACTTTTAATTTATTTACTATGATGATGGAGTTCAATAGATGCAAGTTTGGATTTCATCTACAAAGATGATTTGGCTTGCAAGAACAGGCAGACCAAAAGCACTGCTGAGGGAAGCAGAGGGGAGCAGCGGGTGGACAGGAGAGGTCTGCTGTGCCATGTGGGAATCTCCCTGGCCAGCAGGGGGAATCTGCCTGGTTGCACTTACAAAGGCTGCAAACAGCTTCACAGCACTGTGCTCAACCCGCTGCACAACCAAGGAGGCCCCAAATTAAAAAAGTTTCAGAAGGAGGACAAGGACTCTAATCTCTATAGATGAACCTACGTTGATGAAAACATAAAAGAGATGAATAAACCATACTCAAAAGTGAACCATAATCCATTTCATCTGCCTTCTGATTCCAAGGTGTACCACATGTATCACTTAATGATTCAGTCATGAAATAAAAACTCAAAGTCCCCTCACTGGTATCCCACTCTGGGTACAGTCAGTCATGTACAACTATCATCAACTCAAAACAAACTCGGCCAAGAATCGGATTTAGTGTGCAAGTGCCAGTGAACTCAGAACTGAGACTCATGGGGGAGCCAGGAAAAGCGAGCTGAGATGAAAAGGCCTCAGGTCTGCATAGAGTACACTTTCAGGCTATGTTTTTTACCCTGGGCTACTATAGTTGGCGCAGGTAGGCACTATATCCAAAAATAAACTGTCAAAGAATAACTCAGAAACTTAGTTATTTGCACACTGTTTAGTATTTTCCATGCAAATGACTTACTGACATGTGACAGAGTCAGTGGAAAGTCGGACACAGGCATAAGGAGGATGTGGTAGGTGCCGCACTGCTGGCCTCCAGGGAACCAATGACCCTCCCAGCATGTCCACCTCAATGAAGCCCCTTCCACATGGAATGTGAGCTCGTCTCATCATATGTTTTGGTCATGGGGATAATAACACAGGTGACAAGAACAGAGGCTTGATAAGAACTTGTACCTTGCAGCTTGTCCTCTTGGAACATTCTTTATGAAAGCCAGAATCCATGCAAGAGTTCCAAATACCCTGAGACAATCATGCTATGAGCATGTCAAAACCTGCTACATAGTGAGGCCACATGAAGAAGCAATGAGGTATCAGACATGCAAAAGAAGCTTCATGGGTCTTCCAGACCAGGTACTGACCACCAGCCAAATGCAGCTGACTCCAGCTGAAGCCACATGGAACAGAAGAACCACACAGTCAAGTCCTCTCAGAATCCCTAGCCACAGACCAGGAGTAAATCATTATTTCAAGCTATAATGTTTTAGAGATTTTATGCAGCAATAAGGCTATATACAGTACAAGCCAGAGAAAGGGAAGACAGGAAACTGCACTGGAAAAGTGAATTTTTATACTTTTCGGGAAACTGATAACTAGTATCTAGCAATGAGGTGGGTCTGAAATTCTGTCATTAAATTTTCTTGGGATAGCAAAGAAAACGATTTTCATTGCTTACTGATTCTCAAGAAAATTCTGAGGATTAACCTAGAGCATACTTGAATGTGAGGTCCACTAGCATCCTTTCTTATTTATTTATTTATTTATTTATTTTTTTAAAGATTTATTTATTTATACAAGCACTGGGTACAGTCAGAAGCACGGGAGGGTGAGAGAACTCACCAGAGCCAGAGCAGGGAGCAGAGCAGGCAGAAGGACCGAAGTACACTGCCGAGGGGAGCAGCGGGCGGCAGGAGAGGTCTGCGCGTCATGTGGGACCCTCCTCCGGTGGCCGGGGAGTAGCTGGGGATCGAACCGGTGCTGCAGAGGCTGCGGGCAGCCTCTCAACCCAGCGCTCAACCGCTGCGCCACCGGGGAGGCCCTCTCTAGCATCCTTTCTTAAGCTTCCTTGACCTTATTAGTTCAGGTTTGTATTATTTCCCTTATTAGAATTTTATAGATGAAAACTGAGCTTGGGGAAAGATGAACTCTGAGTGGGTCTGGAGGATTTGAAGTCCTTCCCCGCAACTTCTTTTCCTCATTTAAAAACAGCCTAAGTTGCATCGGCCCAGACTCTTAAGTCAACAACTAGAGTTGCCATGTGGTGGAATGCCCTAAGGCAGCTTCCACCATAGGCAGGAAATGTCCCACAGAAGCAGGGAAGAGTATTTGAGTCAGGGTCCTGGAAATGGGAGCTGCCCAGTGAGACCCACTGGTTTATGGTAATCAGTATCTCCCTGAATATGGGAGTATGAGAATGGTAAAGATGAAGAACAAAAAACTAAGGGGACGTTACAGATAGAAACCGAGGAAAATAGAAGAGCTGAAATACTCACAGAACAGAATCATACAAAGCGAAACAATTAAACTTTATTTGGGAAACAGGGTGACTTAATCACTGGTGATTGGTGCTTTGAGGCTGCACTTTCTCCTCAGGAAGGTGGCCTGGAATGGGGTGGGCTGTGTTCGGCAGAGGCTGTGCTGGTCTGGGATCTAGGTAGACAAGCAGAATTAGAGCTGAAGGCTTTGGCATCTCTCACACCAGCCCAGAACTCGTCTATGCTCTTCAGCTATATCCCCCATCATCCTTAGCCACTGGGTATATCCCCCATTCTCCTCTACCACCTCTCACCTGCTTGGTTTCCCAGCTGGGCCTCAGGCCGGTCTCCCCAGAGCACATATCCAGGATTGTTAAGGAACCGCTGGCTTCGCTGGCATGTCAGGCAGGTCTGCACTGTCCAGCGCTGTCCCCTGCTGCCTGGAGTGAAGGGCAGGAAAAAAAGAGTGCCAGGAACAAAGCTCTCCTTTTAGGACGAAAAACGGTCTCTACATTCAGTTTTGCCTCCATTGCTTTCCAGCAGGAATTCCATCCCTTCCCTAATGGAAGCAAATTCCATGGGATTAACCACCCCTCCGTTGTGCCAATTTTGCCAGTTTCTTGGCAGTCTTTGAGATAAAGCCCAAACTCCTTCACAAGACTTTTTTTTTTTTTTTGATAGAGGCATGTTTTATTTATTTATTTATACACTGGGTACAGTCAGAAGCGCGGGAGGGTGAGAGAATTCACCAGAGCCAGAGCGGGGAGCAGAGCAGGCAGAAGGACCGAAGTACACTGCTGAGGGGAGCAGCGGGCGGCAGGAGAGGTCTGTGCGCCATGTGGGACTCTCCTCCGGTGGCCGGGGAGCAGCCGGGGATCGAACCGGCGCCACAGAAGCCGTTCACAAGTCTTTTTAAGATCGGTCGTTTCCTTCTTCAGCTTCAAGTCTTGCCCCTGCCTACCTCAAACTCCAGCCTCCTGAATTCTTATTTCCTTGTGACAGCCCAAGTTTCTGAGTCTTCACACATTCCTAGAATTTCCATCTCCTACTGCCTTTAGTTAACATGAACCTCACCACCGCTAGCATAAAGTAACACAGCATTCTACTCCCCCAACCCCTTAAAGCATTTCCGACACTCTTTTAATTATTTCTACTTTAGTCTGTCCCCTAAGACTATAATTTCCACGGAAAAAGTGAATCCAGCATAAGACTTGACACATCTTAAAAAGCCCTGTTGAGTGAGTGGGGTGAATGGAGCGGGTGAGGGAATCCTGTCCTCCAAGGGACAAATCACACGCGTCTAGGTGAGCGCGGAGGCAACACCCCTGCTCACCTACTCAAGCAGGGAGTAACAGTCAGGCTCCAACCTTAGTCTGTGCGAGGGCAGTTAGCACAGCTGGAGAAAAGCCTGCTCGCGCAAATCCCTCGCCACCGCCCAGGTGAATCCGGGCCGGGGCCGCTTGGCCGCCCCCTGGTCCCCAACCCCGGTGCCCTCTCGGCAGAAGCACTCACGTCTCTGGCGCTGGGTGCAGGTCAGGCCCGGGACGAGCAGGGACGAGCAGCCGCGGCAGAGGGTCCTCTTCACCGAGGGGTCTCTGGGGGTGCAGAGGGAAGGTGTCCAGGCGCCCGCGCCCCCTCGCGCGTTCTCCCCTCCCGCCCGCCGGGCTCGGGCCGCCTCACCGCCGCAGGACGAGCCGCTTCGCGATGGTCCTCTCCGTGTGGCAGTAGAACCTCGCCAGCGCCTGGTTCTCGGGGTCCTGCGCAAGGACGCAGTGGGCGGCCTGGGGACGGCGAGCAGTCAGCGCGGGCCCCGCCGCAGCGATCGCCCCAGCGCACCCGACGCGGCTCACCTGGTACAGGAAGCTGAGCCTCTGGAAGGCCTCCCGGTCCTTCACCGGCCCCGCCATGCGCGCCGCTAGGAGGGTCTCAGGCCCCGCCCCTCGGGCGGCCCCGCCCCGGCGCCCACGCAAAGCCTCCCGGGAAGTGTAGTTCCTGGGCCCAGACGCGTTTGAAGGTCTTACTCTGGCGCCACCCCCAGGACAGAGGTCTTTGAGTTTTGGGTCTTTACAGACTTCTAGTTTATACTAGAGAATGGAGCAGCTAGTGAAGCAGGAGAGGATCTTAACCTGGTAAAGTATCTTCAAGACACAAGACTGCTGTCTTTATGCAGGTAGGTTGTTAAGGATGGTTTAGTGGAATTTATATCCAGCTCGATCTTCCACCCTACTCTCCTGAAGCCAAGGGTGCATGCCTGAAAGATCTGCAGACAGAAGGAAGAGATTACACACTATAAAAAGTACTGGTACCAGGGGGAGAGAAAAGAAGGATACCGGCCCTCAGAAAGCACAACTTACTTCCACTCTTCCACTTACTAAGAAAAAAAAAAAAAACACACTTCCTTTTTTGCAGTGCTGGACACAGTAGTGATCCTCAGATTCCTGATCGCAGGTTCTAGAGCACAGAAACCTCTACTCCTGCCCCTGAAACTACATGCCACCCCAACAATCATAGCCCCCCTTTCCCACCCTATGATCAGTGTCTCCCATTTGCTCCATTTGGCACCTGTATTTACCTCTGCTTCCCAGTTAGTGACCACGTTTCTGAGGACAGCAGTAGAGGGATGTGAACTGGAGGGGCAGAACATAAATGAATCCTGAGTCAAGGAGAAGAGGGAAGCATGTCAGAAGCTGAGGCCTGTCCCTGTCCTCAAACCCATCACAATTAGCAGAGAACCAGGCTTGCCACCAGGAAGACATTGTTGGGACCTCCTCTAGGATGGGTTTTATAATGGTCACTAGACTCAAGAGGTTTAAAATGCAGATTCCCAAGCCCCAGACCTATCAGTAACTGAAGGTGAGTACCCCAAAAAATGCATTTTTAATACCCAGTGATCACTACACATCACCAAAAGCCGCTATCAAATTACCACACAACAGAGATCACTTCAGTGGATCCTTTGTTCCATATTATGTTTACCCATCAGAGCTTCTTGCCACAAAGAACCACAGTCAAGGCACAAAGGTAAGAGGAGAGTCTGGACAAAGTCTATTGAGGTGGCAGGAGGAACTGAAATGTCCTCAAGGAACTATAGTTTATTCAGTTTCTTATCCCAATCTTTTGCGGACCCCTGATTACCCAAGTAGCAGATAGTCCAGTCATTTTGATTTGGTTTGGCATGCATCGCTTTACCGTTTTTTGACAACATATGTACCCTACAGGTTGTTTTGGCCTAACATTAAAATGCTTTATATTCTCTGATAGGGGAAATGGCAGAAGGTGAAGTGTGGCAACAAACAAGGGACAGGCTCCCCAAAAGGCTAGTTCCAGGCCGAGTGCACACTGGCAAAAGGAAGCTGCCTCTCTAGCCCTTCCCTATATACACCCCCTCCACTTTCCTGTCTTGAGGGTGAGGAAGACTATTTCCTTTCTCCCTTTCTGGCTTACACACCTTTCCCAGGTAACAAGGCTGACAATTGGGCTGACTTAGTACCATTCTTTAAGGCCAGGGCTTTGGATAGAAATTTTTCTTTTCCTCTAACACCTGACTTCTCCTTTCCAAGTTCCCTTGGGAAAACTGTGAAGGGAAGACATTTCTTGCAGGATCTCTGATACATTGCTCCCCATTCTGTCCTCCCTGCAGCCTGGGCAGAAAAACGTGGTTACAAGACAGCCAAGGCGGCGCGGAATGACGTGTACAGAGCGGCCAACAGCCTCCTGTGTCTGGCACTGGATGGCCGCCTCAGCCTGTGTTTTCAACCCCTGGGCCACAGTGATCAGAAAGGTCAGGCCTCTGTGTTCTTCCCCAACCCCTGCTGTGATATGGCCCCCCCTCCCCGGGCTTTGTGGCCACTCAGTGAGGGCCAAACCTGGCTTCTGTACTTGTTGGCCAACTCAGTTACTGAGCATCTCTCAGGTGGTTTCCTCATGTGCAAAACCAGGGTGCTAGTTGCCCACTGGCGAGTTAAGGTGTGCAGAGCTTCTGGTCATTGCCCAGCACGCGGGAGCATGGGGGAGCGAATGGATGAATGAATGGACGAACAAATGAATGCCAGCAGCTATAAAAATTATGTTACCCATCATCGTTGCCTTTCCCCTGTTTTTGTCTGTCTTGGTCAGTAGTTCCTTGCTTAAAACCCTTCCATTCCTTCTCTTGTTCTGCTTCCGCAGGCACCTGGGAGTCCCATCCGGAGACCACGGAACTGGTGGTTTTGCAGGGCAGAGTGGGGCCGGCAGGTGACGAGGAGGAGGAGGAAGAGGAAGAGCTGAGCAGCTCCTGTGAGGAGGAGGGAGAGGAGGATCGGGATGCAGGTGAGGAGGGGGAAGGGGATGAGGACACCCCAACCTCAGCTCCCGGGTCCAGCCTGGCAGCCCGAAACCCTTTTGCTCTGCTGGGCGAGGACGAGTGCTGAGGGCCCGCCCCACGCTGTCTTCCCCATCCACTGTCTTTGCTTTTGGACTGACCTGGGGTGTCTCCCCTCTGCGGCCCCAGTTGTGAATAAAGATTGTCTGCTTTGTAGCCCCTTCCCCAGATGGACTGGGAGACAGCGGCTGTTTCAGCCGACCGCTGTGGGAGGCTTCTCTCCTTCTGTTTTCCTGCAGCCGCTTTGCTAAGAAGTTCTGTTTGGAGTTCATGCAGTGGGCGCTGAGACCCGCTTCCCCTGCTCACCTCCCATTGCACCTTAGGAGTCCATATCTCCGCGGGGAGGGGAGATCACCTCAGGCCTTTGCAACCTTGGTCTAAATCCATCCCCTTTGTGGCATTCCCTCTGGGATTGGAGCAGCCTTGTGCGCCCCCTGCTGCCAGACCCGGGTTATACCAGTAGCTTCTGGAGAAGAAGCATTAAGGGAAATTGTCCTAGGTTGATGTCTCCAAGTGAGATGTTTACAGGATTTATTTAAATTCAACAAACATTTCTTGTGGGTCTCTTGTGTGCCTGGACCTGTGCTAAGCACTGAGCATATAAAGATGTGCGTACAGGGCCTGATGTAAATTTGCATCCTGGCCATGATCACACCGAACTCAGACACCCAGGTTTTGGGATTAAGACGGGTGTGTAATGTTCTCCAAATAGTTGGGGCCCATACTATATAATTCTAGAACTTCCTGTTGATGGGAATATTTACTTTAAGACTAAATGCTTGTAAAAATGATTAAATGTGTACAAGTAGAGTGTTAATTACTGCAAACAGCTAGTGTGCACATTGATGGTTAGAACAGAGCACATGTTAAGTACACTGTGGTGTTTGCATATTTAAAATCCCAAGCACACTAAGGATGTGAGATTCAATCAGGAGGCACAGAGCTAGCTCCTGTGTCCATCTGGCCTGGTTTGGGATGGAGCCAAGGTGACCCAGCACAGGGTCTGACCTATTGTAGAGTGTCATGTGCATTTCAGCAGAGATCAGATTTATTTATATATTTATTTTAAAAATTTTATTTTGTGTATAAGAACTGGGATATAGGCCAGGGGTGCCAGGGTGGGGGATGTCATGGTGGGGGTGGTAAAGAATTCACTAGAGACAGAGTGAAGAGCAGAATAGGTGGATCTACTGAAATACACTGCTGAGGGGAGTAGCGGGTGAGGCAGTGGTGTCTGCCATGTGGGTCACCTCTCTGGCCATGGATGGAACTCAGGCCTTAGTAGTGATAGCACTGAGACTTAACCCCTAGGCCAGCAGGGAGGCCCCAGCAGTCATCTTTCTAGTGAGTCGGGTATTTTGCTGTGTTTCTTCCTTGACAAGCAAGCGGCTGCCTTCCAAGATTTAATTTTTGGAGAAAAGGGAGAATGTGGACTTTGTTTTATCAGCTGCCACAGGGTGGACTGGATTAGGTGGTAGCCAAAAGCATTGGACGGGTTGACTAGTAGGTGTGGGAGTGAGGGGAGAGGGGGCACTGGATTCCTTCTCTTCACACTGTAGCATCCCTTTCAGGTCTGGGTCACTGGGCGGTGTCTGTAAGGCCAGCAGAGGTGCTATCCACCCAGGAACAAGGACAGACAGATGTTTGGGCCACACCTTCCCTGAAGCTACTCCCTCTAGGCCCCAGCGAGGACGTGTCTTGCAATTGTCTAAGCCTAAATACTATTGTTAGGGGGAAAGGATGTCCTGAGATAATCTCATACAGGCTTTGTGGACTCCACCCCCACTCCAGACTAAAGCCATCAGGACATTGGGAAAGACAAATCCCATCACCACCAAGGGGAGGGTGGCTGGGACCTGAGGGTGGAGTTGGGCAGCCAGGTTGGATATAAAAACCAAACACGTGGGCCTTGCTCGCTCTCTGGCTCGCGATCGCTTGCCTCCTGGCTTCACCGCTCCTGGCTGGCGGCCAACTCTGAGAGCGCCATTTTGGGATTCCTGATCGGCGGATGGGGTAGGACTCATTTAAAACTTTGTCTCCCACTTTTCTCCCAGAGCTGTACATTTCCTCATTTCCCTTTCCCTTGTAAATAAACCTTTTATTAACCTTTCACGTGTGCCTGCAGTAGAGCATTGATAAGTCCTTTTAAGCGCGCGGGTGAGGACCCAGTCAGGCACCCCGTTTTGTATTGGGGTTGCTCCTACAACAGTTTGGCGCCCAGCGTGGTTTCCAAGTTACACCCGCGGTTGACCAGCCCAAAGTAACATTCCTTGCGTTGGTCACCATAAGCGCACTAGTTCTGCAGGACTAGCAGTATAATATTTGTCTCTAGTCCTGAAAAGTCTGTTTTTTTCCCTGTGCGTACAGCCCTTGTGGGTGTGTTTTGACTCAACTATGGCCCCAACCATGAGCCTATACAGTTTCATCCCTAGCCTGAGTTCTTTCAGTTTCCTTCCGGCCTTGAATTTGAGCAGCCTTCTTCCATTAAATATCACCACCAGTTTCATTAATATAAATAATTTGATGAAGCCTGGTGTATGGCATGTGATTTTACTATTGTATACAT